AACAGATAGACAACCTACGAAGGCGATTGGTGCCACCTAGAGTCAGACAGCGGCAGCACATCTGGCACTCTCCCACCCCAGCCCCTCAGGCCAGGAACCTAGAACCACCCCCACCCCTGCTCCCAGTGCATGAGTCCCTCCACTCACCTTGGCAAGGATTCCCCGTATGGGTCGAGCCCGCTAAAGATTAGGATGCAGGGCAGACCCTCCAGCTCCAAGTAAGTCTGAGGTCTCCACTCGGCGTCGTCAATGTTCTGCCACATCTGGGGGTAATTAAAAAGAAATAATGTCTGGGGCCAGAAGGTGCCATGGTGGTTAAGGCACTGGACTCCCACAGTTCGAGTCCTAAAGAGGGGGCTGGAAAGCCACGCTGGATGCATGTGCATGTGTACCCAAAATCCAGAGAGGAGAATGGAAAAGAGAATCACTTGGCCACCTCCCGGGGTGATTCCTCACTTTCCCTCTCTTTTTCTCCAGCTAGTGCACATACCCTGTGACAAAATGAATTTAAATAAATAAATACATAGAATGTGAAGTGACTTCTTACTTCCTAACTATTCAGTTCGAGGAGTATCTGGGTGTCCTCCCACTGATTTAAAGACCTGGCAATACCTCTGATAAAAAGAGAGGTTCTTTACATGCAAAAAACCACTCTGCTGCATCACCGCTGTATCTTCACCACCAAGAACACGTGTCAGGTGTGTGTGTTCTATCCTCGAGCACCTAACGTGGCATGTTCCACATCTGTGGCTTCGACTAACTGTGGGTTGAAAAGATTGGTGGGGAGAACAATAAAAGCATAAATAAAAAGTAATACAGGCCCAGATGCGGCACGGCAGGAGACAGCAGACAGATCTGTGCCGGGAGCCACCTCCGGGTTCAGATCTCAAGCTGACCTGAAACACACCAGGCACCTGTACTCAAAATATTAACTAGCTGGAGAACGAGGAGGAGGGGGTTGTGGTGTAAGGGGACCCTGTCAAGGGTGTCTGTCTGCTCTCTCATGAACAAAGGTAAATAAACTTAAAAAAAAAAATACAAAGATAGTACATATAAAACTATTTACATAGTATTCACAGTGTCAAATATTGCCAGTAATCTGAAGATGATTTAAAGCATGCAGGTTACATGCAAATACGGAACCATTTTATACGGGAAACTTGAGCACCCGTGGATTCTGGGATCAGCAGAGATCCTGGGACTAATCCCTCTTGGGTACTCGGGATGACTCCATAAGCTGTTCAGAACTACCCGTTGACTAACTGACCCTCTGGGAGAAAGTATATGTCCCCAACTGTCCTTCGTGTCTTTCACCCTCATTTTTTTTTGTATGTATTCTTTTCATATTTTTTCCCTAACTTATCCGCATTTTCTGTTACCCACAGATCGAGCGCCTACTATGGTCCAGGCCCTCACAGCCTGGGGGAGAGCCAGATGACAGACAGGGACAGGACCCAGTCCCAGGGAAGGTAATTTCCTGAAAGGGGAAAGGACCCTGGGCTGAGTTCTGCAGGCAGGAGCATAGCTAACCAAGGAGGAGGGGACACGCGCCCCCAGGTACCACCAAAGCGAAACGCATCATTTGGAAGCGGTAGAGGAGGTTAGAGGCTCTCGGGGCCTGGAGAGGCCAAGCTGGCTCAGAAGGGCTCTGGCGCTATTTCCCCTCCCATCCTGTGTCCCTGCTGTCCCTGAGAGTTGTGCCCACCTTGAGCTGCTTCACGAAGTGCTTGCCCACAGTGATGCCAGAGCTGGGGTTGCCCAGGATGATCTCAAAGTGCTCCTCCAGGGCCAGCCGCGCCCGCACGTGGGCCAGTCGCTCGTAGGCCACAGCTGCCAGGGGCGAGCAGGGCACCCGCAGCAGGACCATGAGCCCGTGGCCACAGGGGCACTGCTTTGGGGAGTTGAGGAGGTTCTGCGTGATCTCCAGGGTCTCCACTGATGTGTAGTTCTTCATCTGGGGCAGGCCGCTCACGGCCATCATGGCGGCCGCGTAGTGCTGCACGAGAACGAAGGTCCGGATCACCGAGCTGTGCAGGCGCGGGAACCTGCGAGGAGCACGAAGAGACGGCGTGACCCGGGCTGCCCAGCAGCCTGCCAACCTCGAGACCCAGAGCCCTCCTGGAGAGCCACCTCAGACAGCCATCATCTCGGACACGCCGCCCAAGCCACCGACAAGTTGTGTTGCCTTTCAAAGTTGCCTGCTGAGAACCTAAAACAGAAGTCTTCTTTGTAACACGTTTGCTGTTTCAAACTGGGAAAGAAAAATACAGGTGTTGTTCATGTTTTCTAGCACTTGGCATTATGTAGCTGCTCAATAAATATTTGGCCAATGAATAACCAGGGGAGAAATAAATCAAATGCCTATTTGATCCATCATCCATTTAATATCTCATTCCTTAAAGAAGTAGATAATTATGGTGAGTCATTAGAAATATAACCAAATGTGATTTAACTTGACAGATGAATTACAAATCCAAATGCATCCAAAGCAAGGATCCCAGTTGCTTCAGAAACTGTGGTACTACATTCATACCCACATGAAGGAGGTGGCCACTCCCATAACCACACGCACTGCTGAGAGACTCTGGTCCAGGCAGATCCATTGGCATCAGTAGAAAAATCCAGACCACCATAGGTTAGTGTGTTTCTCAGCAGAAACAGTCCCATGTATACGTGATGTTTTTGTGAGCTTTTTAGCTGAAACGAGTACCCATGACTCAGTGGCTTTTGAGAGCAAACATGCCGTAGTTGTCATTGCCATGTCACCCTGCGAGTTCTATCAGGGCAGCTAGCTTGCCTTCCCGTGCATCTCTGGCACCACCATGACACTATCTGCATCTTCTTCCTGCCCTTATCTTTCTGTTCTTTATGCCTCTTGTAGCACTTCAATTACTTGGTGGGTCATGTAAACTAGGACCTGGCCTACTATTACTTAGGAAGGCATAATTGGCCCACAGATTCTAACATGAAGGGGACTCGGCCGTCAGGGACTGCTTTGTTCTGCACCCAAGCACTGGTCAATTGCTGCCCAGAAGAGCAAGACTTCCGCTTCTGATAAGCAGGCTTGCACTTCTGGCCAAGACAGAGAACAGAGGTCAGATATATTCTCCCACCTGACATCAACGGAAAAACTTAATGAATATATGAAACGACACTCTTT